CAACAATGTCTCATTGAATTCTAATATTATACATATAAAAAACATGGGTTGAAGAGTTCTTTGTACTCCACATATCTTGATTGATAATCTCAACATTCAAGGAAATGGTTGAATGTTAGCATTCAATTTATTATATCTCACAATTAGGGTTGACTTACAATGAAGTCTTATTCTCTAGACAATGTCACCTTCAACATCTTATGCAAGCCAAGCCAAGCCAAAAGTACTTCGATGCAAAATCCTCTTTCTTGAGTGTTCTCTTTTGGTCTTTCTCTTGTGATTAACGACCTAATGATTATTTAGCCACAAATGTATTAGTTTACTTTGTGTTTATATATTGTCCTTCCTACACTTGGACTATAACTAAAATAGCCTAGCCGGCTGAACTACACTTAATCTAATTACATTGTATCTTTTAGGTAGCTGGATATGTATGTTCTCTCAAGCCACCCAATTATGTATTATTGAGTCGGTTTTCATCAAGGTCAACTTGATATTGGACCAAAATCGAAAGGTCCAACATGAACCTAAACAAGGGGTGGCTTTGGAATTTCCAACAATTTCTAAAATGAATTCAATAAAGCACTTTTCCCCTTGAATCAAATAAGACAAATGGAACCCTAAAATATATTGTAATTTATACAAGTTTTGTTGGACAGTTTCCCACCCATTGTTTTCACCATATATGATGTTTCTTTCTCTCTTTCTTTCTTTATGCTTCTGCCGACCTTCCTCCTTTGTTATTCAATGGAACCCTTATCCCTCTCGTGTGACGAAATTGTGGTTACTTGACTCTAGACCTCTCAACATATGCAATGTATACAAATGTAGTTGTTTAATGCACAAGACTAGTTGGAAAGGGTTGATATATATTGCACAAGTTTGACCAGTTATGTTTGTCTTTGTTTCTAAGGGTGCCTCAAAGGGGAAGGATAGAGGAAAGATCGGTTGCGCATTACGGGTTCTGAAAACAAGATATTCGAGTTCGAAGTCCCACTCAATCAAATTTGTGTTAGATGTTTGTGTTACGTACTTATGTGCAGAGTTCCCATAGGTACATATAACATGTCTCACCATTACAGTTTTGCAATAGTAAAATCTTAATCCGCAAAATCCTACAACATCAGCACACACTCTGACGTCTACATACTCCCATCGGCTCGGCAGCCGATTGCCCACCAAACGGTTCCTTGGCACTAGCCATTGAGTTGAGCCCTATCTATAAACTATTCACTTGCTCAAGTTGCTCAAGACATGGACACATTTTGCCTTTTTTGGATTACGTGTGGCCGCTATATAAGGGGAAAAGGATCGGCAAATTGCATTATTAGGTTCAACGCCTAACTACCCAAATAAATATACCCAAAATCCATCATTTTCCCACAGCTCATATACACATCACTCGGCTCGCCTTGATTAGTAGTAATCTCCATCGATTAATCTTAATTAATGGTAAAATCAAAAGTCAAATATGTACATGATAGCTAACTTTCGTGTAAAAAAAGTATAAAATCAAAATGACGACAAGAACAAAAAGGTAGGAATTGAAAGGGTTTCTTTCTTTATTAATGCTAATTAGTTAGTTTAGTTATTACTATGATTAAACAATTACTTGGCCTGCAGTTTGCTTATAATGAGCAAATGTAAAATATACTTATTGTTATATAATATATACGATCTCCTCCCACTTTCCTCCAAGCTTCTGCCGGCTTTCCAACCTCTTTCGGCTTGCCTTCACCTCATAGGCCGCCCTGCTTTCGGAATACCTGCGCAGGTACGGGGTGGAGTGGAGCGACCCATTCTTAGATGTTATTTGAAAAAAATCAATGTAAAATGTTACTTTTTACGATAATATAATGGGGATTTTCAATGAAAATTAGTGATAACATTATAAGTAATTGAGTCTACCTAATTGAAAGATCAAGTCTAACTAGTTGAAGAAAAGTTAAAATAGAAGAAAAATATGAATAATATTGCAAGAAATCGAGATAAAATGGGTCAAGATCAACGAATCAGGTCGGACAATACCCGCCACATCGCGAATCAGGTCGGACAATACCCGGCGGGGCAGGTTCAAATTACCATCTCTACGTGCCACATATATATATGTTGAAAATTTTATGATTTCCCCTCGTATTTGCCTCACATAGCATACTCTTTTTTTATTTTTATTTTTATTTTTTATTCAAGATTAGTGAATGAGTCGAACTTATGAAACTAACACTATGTTTGGGAAAGGGTGTAAATTGAAGGGGGTGCAAGTTTGGAGGGGTAAACACAAGTTCCAAGGTGTTTACCCCCGTTTGGTTATTTTGTAACAGTAGGGGGGTGCAAAACGTGAGCGTAAATTCACTGTTTCGGCTTACCCCCCAAATTGGGGTGCAAGGGAAGGAAGGAAGGGAGGGGGAAGGGGGAGGAGGGGAATTATGAATTTTTAATTAGATTATAATTACATAATAATTAATATTATTAATTTTTTCTTATATCTATATTAGTGTAGAAGTTGTTTGGGGTTGACCGTTTGACTCAGAGAGCAAGTTTGTCAATGTTTGCCTCGTCAAATCGATATCTCTTAGTTGACCCGAATTTGCATTGAAAATTAGAGATAAGAAGCGTTTGTTGAAAAGATAGAGAGGAACAGTTTAGTTAACTCGATTTACTTTAATAAGTAGTTAAAACTTACAGATTCGAACGTGTTTGACTAAGTTTGACCATATTCAATTTAAAGTTAGGCACGAGAACCCCGTTAGGATGACTAGTTACGAGTTGGATTTCGAGTTTCGAGGTTGCTCGACCAATGATTATTATTGTTGTTATAAATAATTATATTTGAGCATTATTATATAATAATTATTTTTATTAAAATTATTTTTATTATTATATATTGAATTTTCATGTTATTATTTTGTGATAATATTTTATAAATTGATAAATTTATTTTATAATAATATAATTACTTACTTTTTACTCTAGTTGCACCCCCCTACTTTTTCATCCAAACAACAATTTACCCCTCCACTTACACCCTCCACCAAGTTGCACCCCCCAACAACTTACCCTTCAACTTGTACCCCCCTCCACCAAGTTGCACCCCCCAACAACTTACCCTTCAACTTGTACCCCCCTCGAACTTGCACCCCCTTGTTGCCAAACATAGTGTAAACAAAAGATGTTCAACATATATGTAGCATGTATATAAGTTATCGGATAAAAATTTCAATAAAGAAACTTAAAGCAGACATAAAAGTTATAACACATAGTGCACGAACTCTTTCGTTAAAACTCGTTAATATAAGGATTTGTTTGTCACAACAACACAATGTAGGGTGATATTAACAATATCACTAACCCCATAATTAAATAAAAACAAATCATATCTAAAACTTTAAAAGGACAAAAAAACAAACAAATGAACTCCACCTGCTAATGAATCTCTTGTGTATTTTATTATTTCCTGTCGTCACAGATTCGTTGGAATATAATCTGGAAAATGGTTTGCTTTACGATCACACTAAAATTAATAATAAGGGGAAAAGGTGTTACCTTTTCATCCCTAGCTCACTCCATTATCTCCCATTTCTGCACATAAAGACAGTAGAGCAGTTCAAATTCTTTTTTTCCTTTCTCTATTTCTTTATTTCTTCCTATATATAAACTAATTATTAAGATAATAACAATAAAACAAATGTGACAGAAAAGGCAAATATGTGTACACATAAGATGAGTGTAGCTAAAGGATCCACAATGCTCTTCAGTCTTCACGTATTTAAATTTTAATTAATCCTAAAAGGAATGATTTCGGGCTAATTAATCAGGACACAGATGAGGTTTTGGAATTTTTAATCAGTAAGTCTCTACTCCAAGAGGGTGCTTTGGTACTTAAAGAGAGATGTTTCACTTATCCTACGTTATGTTTCATCATCTCGAAGATTTATGCAATCGAATGATATTGAGCAATAGATTATTTGTCCAACTTTTGCGAGAGCGAATAATACAGTTACAAAATGAAATAGGACGAATAATTAGGGGTTATAGGAGCTAGGGGCAACATATCGAGCTTTTGAGAAAAAAAATTATTATTGAAATTCGTAATACTAGAAAGCTTCAATTAGTTTGAGTTTTTTTATGATAAACCTAAATGCGGAAAATCAACGTACTCTTATTTTAAAACCAACCACATGCACAGTTTAATGGTTTTAACATAAAGATACGGAGTGACATAAAATCAATAGGTGGATCATATATACATTGAAAAGTCCACAATAGTAAAAAAAAATACTTCAACATTATGGCTCATGTGGTAATTAAGATATGTCGAAATGTTGAACTTCAACAAACCAGATACATGGTATCAGAAATCACGTATTCTCGAGATAAAATACGGACACTCTACATTTATATTTATATTAATAATGCAAGGAGAATAAATGAAAGGAGGGGATGATGACAAACTAAGAGACATAAAAAAACAACATACAAAAAGGTGAAAAAGGGAATGGAGGTATAGAGGAAGGCATGCAGATTGCTCACTCTCTGCCCAACAAAGCATATTTTTTTACTACAGAAATCTTTGCAGTGGGAATCTACCTTTCATCTCTTCTCACCTCATTCATACACTTTTTTCCTCATTTAAAACAATTCCCTCTACACCAAATTTCCAGAAATTCTCTTGTCTTTACTCTTTACCTTTCCCTTCAATCTTCTTCTGTCTCCTTTCATTGTTATTTGTTGGATTACAGCCACAGTAAAAAAAAAAAAAAAAAAAAACAGGTGGGTAATTTCTGGGATTGTTTAATGACAAACAAATTCATAAGAATAGCTTTTAGAGAAATCATAGTATGTCGACCACGATGATTGTTCGAATATTTAGTTAACAACTACAAACAATTGATAAAAACATGAATGAGAACTAGTACATAAAGAGAAAATATTCACGACCTAATTCTTTGTAATATTAAAACGTAACTATATATCTTCGGATTCAATGTGTATGATTAACATCCGACGTGATATTTCTTTCATTTTGCCGACTTGGGCCGCATCAAATAAGAAAGGTGGTGGGTGTACACTATTAATCAAAGCTTGGCCAGAGACAAAACAAAATAACAGAAATGAAAAAGGGAAATAAAAGAGTGGGAAAAAGGTAATTATGAGATGGTTCTTGTGAAGCAAAGGAGGGTCCTTTTCCCGTTGAATTCTTCACTTCTTTTCTACCCATAATTTCCCTTCATTTTTAAAAAATACCCTTTTTTCAAAAAAAAAAAAAAAAGAGTAAATTTGTAAAACTGAGGTAGATAAATCATAAATCACAAATATAAACAATAACAGAGATAAGTAATATATATAAGGGGGAAAAAAGAAAGATATAGATCCCTTGTAAGCTGCCAAACTCAAAAAGGCCTTTTTCTCCATTTCTCTGCTCCAAAATTTCCTCTTCCTTCTCTCTTCCCTCAATTCATTCTGGCCAAAGGCCACTCCTTTCTCTTTCTCTCTCAGCTCACCGGAAATAAGAAATCGAAGAAACTACGACGACCCACTAATCATTGCTCGCCACCGCCACTTCCGACGATAAAAAGGAGTCGAATTTCCGGGTAAATAGTCAGCTATGAGAGCTGGGCTCAGCACGATCCAGCAAACCCTCACGCCGGAGGCGGCCAACGTCTTGAACCACTCGATTGCCGAAGCCGGCCGGCGAAACCACGGCCAGACGACGCCGCTCCATGTGGCGGCGACTCTTTTGTCATCCCCCTCCGGCTACCTCCGGCAAGCCTGCATCAAATCCCACCCCAATTCCTCCCACCCGCTCCAGTGCCGAGCTCTGGAGCTCTGCTTCAGCGTGGCCCTCGAGCGGCTGCCCACGGCGGCGGGAGCCAATTCGGGTCCCGGTTCACAGCCCGACCCGCCGATTTCCAATGCGCTAATGGCGGCGCTGAAGCGCGCCCAGGCGCATCAGCGAAGAGGGTGCCCCGAGCAGCAGCAGCAGCCGCTGCTGGCCGTGAAAGTCGAGCTGGAGCAGCTGATTATCTCGATTCTCGACGACCCGAGCGTGAGCCGGGTCATGAGGGAGGCCAGCTTCTCGAGCCCGGCTGTGAAAGCCACAATTGAACAGTCTCTGAACTCGCCTCCAGCTCCGCAACCTAATTCCGGGCAAATTGGGCAGGGATTCCGGCCGCCGGGGTCCGTCCCTGTTCCCACGGTGACGGGGAACCGGAATTTGTACGCGAATCCCAGGTTGCAGGGGACGACGCCGGCGGGTGGAGGAGCAGGGCAGTTGGGCCGGAGCGAGGAAGCGAATCGGGTCATGGACATCCTGCTCCGAAGCAGGAAGCGGAACCCTGTTCTGGTAGGGGAATCGGAGCCCGAAATGGTCGTTAAGGAAGTTCTCAAAAGGGTACTCGAAAGTAAAGATATTGGGGACGAGGGTTTGTTGAAGAATCTGCAAGTGATTCATTTGGAGAAGGAGTTCCTCGAGAAATCACAGATTAGTTCGAGGATTGGTGAGCTGGCCGGGTTGGTGGAGACCCGGATTGCGAGTTCGGGTTCTGGAGGTGCGATTCTCGACTTGGGCGACTTGAAATGGCTGGTGGAGCAGCCAATTGGGTCGGATTTGAGCAAGACCGCCGTCGCCGAGATGGGGAAGCTGGTGGCGAAGTTTAGGCAGAGTGGGAAAAAGATTTGGTTGATTGGTACAGCCACTTGTGAGACTTACTTGAGATGCCAAGTTTACCATCCATCAATGGAGAACGATTGGGATCTTCAGGCAGTTCCAATTGCTAACAGAGCTCCTCTCCATGGAATGTTCCCCAGGTAAAAAGTTCATCACTTTACTGTAATACTATTCTGTTGGAAAGTCGAGAATCTTGTCATTTTCAAGGTTTAGCTTAGTGGGTGGCACAAAAAGTTTGCTCCTTTAGGGTAATTTCTAGGAGAATATCCTTTAGTAATGAACTTTCTCTGTTTTGGTATGGGCATTCAGGATTGGGAATACTGGATTCCTTGGCAACTCGCTTGAGTCATTGTCATCATCATCACCATTGAAGGGGTTTCCCACCGTGTCGATTGGTCCACCGAAACGTCTGTCTGATAATAATCTTGATACTGTGAAAAAGCCAGCAAATTTCTGCCCACAGTGCAAGCATAACTTCGAGCAGGAACTGGCAAAAGTTGTCCCGAAGGAGCTCGTTGAGAAACCTTCTACTGGAGAAGCTAAGTTGGAAGCAACTCAGCAGCAGCAGTCTTTGCCACCATGGTTGAAGAACGCCACGAATACTAAAGATGCTTCAGCGGTATGTTCTGTTTCTGGTTCTAATGTTTGTGAATGCTTTGATGATAATCAAAATGTGAACTATGCAGATTGAACTTATATTTTTTGTTATCCCTTCGTTACTATGTAGACCAAGGACCAAGAGCTGCTGCAGAAGAAATGGCTCGATACGTGCTTACGCATTCACCCTGGCTTCCATCAGCATCACCAACAGAGGAATCTTCAGCCTGGTGGTGCTACTGCTGTCCCGATGCCGAGTTTGTTTAATCGAACCCTTGTGCCTTGTGTGCCTAAGATCGGTTTGACTGGAGGAAACCCTACCTTGCAACTGAATACCAACCTCTTGCCTAAACAAAACTCCACCAGGCCAGTACTTAGTCCACCTACAAGCCCTGTTAGAACCGAGCTAGTTCTTGGGCGTCCTAAGGTGGCTGCTCAAGCCATTACCAAGGACCTTTTGAGCACTGCTGTTGCTGCTGCTGCTCCTGAGTCGGAACCAAAGAACTTGCATGACTTTCAGATTAGTAAACTGCTCAACAAATTGGATGCTGATTCATTCAAGAAACTTGTCAAGGGGCTCATGGAGAAAGTATGGTGGCAGCAAGATGCAGCATCAGCAGTTGCCACAGTGATGACACAGTGCAAATTAGGGAGTGGAAAACGAAGGGGCAATGCTTCAAAAGGTGATATCTGGCTATTGTTCACAGGGCCAGACCGAATCGGGAAGAAGAAGATGGCAGTTGCTCTCTCGGATCTCCTTCGCCAATCCAACCCAGTGACAGTCCGACTGGGCTCACGTCGTGATAGCGATGAGGTAAACTTCCGTGGTAAAACTGTGATGGATCGAATAGTAGAGGCAGTAAGAAGGAACCCATTTTCAGTCGTAGTGCTCGAGGATATTGATGAGGCAGATATGTTGGTGAAGGGGAGTATAAAACGAGCTATGGAAAGGGGTCGACTTGCTGACTCCCATGGCAGGGAAATCAGCTTGGGAAATGTGATTTTCATCCTCACTGCCAGCTGGCTGCCGGAGAGTCTCAAGTTCTTGTCCAATGGATTTACATTGGACGAAAAGAAGATTGCAAATCTTGTAAATGGAGGTTGGCAGCTGAGGCTGTCGGTTTGTGGGAAGACAGCTAAACGTAGGCGTGTAAGAGAAGATCTGACATTCGACTTGAATGAAGCTGCAGACATCAACTGTGACTTGAGTGATGTAACAGTTGACCATGAGGATGAGCATTACTTGAGCAGCAAGGTACTAACAACACCAACTGCCTCGGAGCTACCCTCAGATCTACTCGATTCGTTTGATGATTGTATAGTGTTCAAGCCGGTGGATTTCGGTGGGATCAGAAAGGATGTCTCGAATTCGATCACCAACCGAGCTTCGTCGATCATTGGGGAAGGGAATAGCTTGGAGATTGAAGTAGACGCACTCGAGAAAATCTCCGGTGGGTTGTGTTTGGGGTTTGATGGGTTGGAGGAATGGACAGAGAAAGTCCTGGTCCCGAGCTTGCGCCAACTGAGGATGAGGTTTGGGACAGATCAATCCATGGTTGTTCGGCTTGAACCGGATACTGATTCAGATAGCCGAGGGCCTGGAGATTGGCTGCCGGGTAGTGTGAGAGTCATGGTCGACGGGCGTTGAATGATAAAGGTACGATCTTTATGATTCTGTGACATAGAGAATGTAAATAGGATCAGAAAATCTTTTGGCCAAGGGGCTGTTAGAACACAGCTCTTGGAGCTGGGAATAGGGCCTTTGGTTTTGATCTTTCATCTCATCACTATTGTTCCCCCACCATATCACCCTTTGTAATTTTCTCCCAAAGAAATTTTGATATTTGTTTATAGGAAAAGTTGTCCAAGTAAATTGTATTTGCTCCATAGATGTTCCTATTGATTATTGCTACTACTACTACTACTACACTAGACAGAGAAAACTGCCCAGCTGCAATATTTTGAGGCATTTTGGCTTCTCTGTTTCATCAGTTGCTGTATTGTACATCATCATCATACAATGTTCATTACCACAATTTCTTTGCCCCTAGCTCTCTTTGTTGAGATCTTGTATCGATGTTCGAATCCTGATGGCCCATAACAATTGATTTACTTGCCGGTTATGATGAACTTGTGCAAATATGAATGGAATGAGTTACATACATCAATGATATCACCCATCGATTAACACATATCTCCTAATCATAATTTCAATACAATTACCACTTAGATACACAATGTATATGGTTAGCCAATTCCATTATGATATTCACTCAAAAAGAAAACACCCACATGCCAAAACATGACCTTGCCAAATTTGGCAGGCAATCAAGTCTTTGGGAGAAACAAGTGCCTATTTGCTGTTAGGTGCAGCAGGCAACAGGGATATAGGACAATACACTCGCAATAAGCAATGACGGCTATGTGTAATTAGATTCAATTTTCTCGATATTTGTATTGTATATAATTTAATTCGATTTTTTCGATTTCGGCGTGAATTCAATTTATGAGTCCTCATAAAAAAAGAGGAGAAGAATATCTCAAATAAACTCAAACAATATCAAATCGTATCAACACAAATGCTTTTTAATCTGATTATGATCATTATTCTTAACCTCTTTAAAATGGGGATTCGATTTGATTCTCGCACTTTCCACTACATTCCATATGTCACCTTATAAAGTTACTAACTGTCGTAGCTCGAACTTACCTCTTGCATACTTACCCTAATCAAATAGTCGGTGAGAAGTTAGAAGCAACAATATCTCTCATATTTTGTCAAAAAAAAAAAAAATCTCTCTCATATACTTTGTTAATATGTGGGTACAAGATTCTCTCATATACTTTGTTAATATGTGGGTACAAGATTCATTATTCTTAACATTGTATCAGAGCCTTTGTTGATCAAGAGCTCTTGATTTCGAATCTCTATTACCCGTTTTTGTTAAAAACATGGTATTTCGAACATGTACTGCTTCAAGCTTATATAAGCGACTTTCGTTTAAATAAAAAATCGATGTCTGCAATATACAATCATAATGTACTCAAAAGTTCCCCTTTGCAAAAGTGAATTAGTATTGTCTAACGAACACAAAGTTATTACAGAAGAGAAGATCAAGATCAGTCTTCAACGAGCCTTTTCATACCTACCGAATTAAACAATCGATGCATGCAAAAAATCGATGTTTGCAATATACAATCATAAAGTACTCAAAAGTTCTATATACATCAATCCAAATCGAAATTAGGAAGCTCATAGAGCCTCCCATGATGCAACTCCCACGTGACTACCTCATCATATATAATATCAAACATGGAAACCTTGGGAACTTGCCAAACTTAGGGTTCATGGAATGAAGACATAACTTGGGAACCATGAGAGAGCACTTCATCACCTTTGCTGAGGAGAGAGCCGACAAGTGGCTATTTGCTATTAGGTACACAAACTTTGAGAAGTTAAAGCCGCCGAGTCCAGATATCAAGGAAGCCCCCTCCAAACCCCAAATGCCAAAAGGGCAGCCGCCTAATTAATGAATGGTGACAAAAATCTTAGCACATTGCTTGGTTGAATGGATAGATGCTGGCAATTGATGACCAAATGGCCCCATTTCCTTTCTTCTCTAATATTAACTTGTTCCAACTAGTGATGGCAATGGGTCGGGGCGGGTACCTCAATACCCATGTCCCGCCCCATGCTATTACGGGTCGGGGCGGGTAATACTCGCGTGGGTACGGGGCGGGGCGGGTCGACCCACTCTTATATGCTATTTGAAAAAAATACAAGCAAAATTTTACTTTTTACAATAAAACGAAGGGGAAAGACTTCATGAATAAATAATAGTGATAATATAATGGGTAATTGGGTCTATTTAATTGAAAGATCAAGTCTAACTAGTTGAAGAAAAGCCAAAATAGGAGATATATGAATGGATGGTGTAAGAAATTGACCTATAACGGGCCAAGAATGGGGTGGGGCGGGACAGGACGGGTTAGAAGTTGATACCAATGCCCCGCCCCATGCTACTGCGGGTCGGATAATACCCGCCCCATCGCGGGTCAGGTCGGGTAATACCCGGCGGGGCGGGTTCAAATTGCCATCCTAGTTCCAACTCTAAGAACCCATGTTCTCAATTAGTATTGTTCATCTTCCACCCCACCCAATCAATTCTCTCTTTCTTATATATATGTCTTGTTGGGATTTGGGTGTTAAAGATGTTCATCCAGAAGATTAGAGTTGTTCATCACCCGAATGACGGCTTACTAACTATTTACTATATTAGTTTATGATTTGTTGTAATAATAAGGGAGGCATACTTAAGAGTTTCAAACAATCTCCCGTTCGGAATTCATAAATTTATACAATCAACGTTAAAGATAAGATCCATGGTCACATTTCTACACAAGGATGGTCCACGTTCAAACATTAATGCATGAAATTGGTGGAGAGATACAAGACTTGACATTATTTATTTATAGCATTACATTTGTTAGTAGATATGTGGAGTTTGAAAGGACAATTTTTTCTATCATTATTTTGTTAACAAAAGATATATAGAGAGACAGAAATGTTGCACTCATGGCTACATAAAAAACCCACACCTCCAATTTAATGCAAGGAGTTGCATTATTATGTGTCTTGACCCCATATGTTCATGTGTCCTTATTTAATTTGGGGGCTACCTCTTCACCTTGCTTAAAGTTAACTCCATGATTTTCATAAATTAGTTTTAGTAATTGTAAGAAAAAATTGTAACTCTATTATGACCAAAATTTCAGCATTATGTCTGATGTGTCAATGATGATCTTCCTGAATATCCACTATATTTAAGAGACAAAAAAAAAAAAAGAATGATTCGAGCATATATCTCTACCGACGACCACTAAGGAGATCATCCTAAAATGATAGGTCGTTCAATTGAGTCTGCAAATACAACATATCAACCTCCATGCCTTACCATTTGAGGCATCCTTTACTATCTAAAATTTTAAGAGAAAATATGAGCAAATGTTGAAAGAGGCCCAGCCTAGTTGGTAGCACCGTCCGTGGGGTACTCAGAGGTCCCTGGTTCGTACCCCGGGTAGCGCAGCTTTTGCTGCATTTCTACCGTCCGTGGGTTGTTCCTGGTGACCCTGATGTGTCCCCCAGGTGTCTCCAGCATAGGTCTCCTCCAGTAGCATCTCCGCCGAGGTAAACCCCCAGGTGTCTCCAGCATAGGTCTCCTCCAGTAGCATCTCCGCCGAGGTAAATAGCCCAGCGAGAATGGGTGGAGTTCGACACGTCTAAAAGGACGTGTTTGAGCTACCGCTCCACCGTGCGATTGTGGGTGTTCCCTCGACGGGTATTTGGCCCAACTTCGGTTGCAAAAATGGATTGTCAGTCCCGAGGTTTGATCCGACTACGACATCGCAAAATGGTGACCGTGGAGGATGTTCCCGTTATAACAAAAATATATATATGAGCAAATGACTATTGCATCGACCTCTACTGATTCCCACAAAGAAGATATTTCCAAAGATAACAAAATATTAAAGTTTTAACCTACGAATATACTATGTCAATCTCCGTACTTTATCATATGAAGTTATGAACCCTCCTTTATTATCTGGAAAATTCTATTTTTAAAGATGGCTTTCTTACTTTATATAAATTAAGGAATAATTTTTTCAATGCTTTATGAAGCCGGTCTAGACTAGGTAAGTGACAAATTTCTAGTTAACTAAGCAAACTGTTAAGCTTCTTTTCTTTATGTTTTCCCAATATAAATTATTGGGTTACACGTAGTAGTAGTGCCCCATTTAATTACTCCCACAACTTTTTAGAGTTGGTGAAAGTTGTTCAACCGAAATGCTTTATATAGTCCATTAATCCTCCTCAAACGGACAAAAAAAAAAAAAAGTAACTGAAGATATGAGTGGTTAGGTTAGTGGTCTCATTCTAAAAAGCGAGGAAGTGACATAAGCAAATTAGGGAAAAAAATTAGCCCTTTGATTGAAGAAGTAAACACATAGAAGAATAGGAAGACACACAAAACATCAAAGAATATTTGAAAGAAAATCCTTCCTTGTAAAAAGGATCTTTGCTTTGTCTTTTAACAATATCATCGTGCTACATATGCAAATATAGCAATGACTCATTAGATGTTACTACTTCATGATTCATAAGATCCCTTTCTCCTATAGAACATTTTGTAAAAGAATTATACGATGGATTGATAAATATTTACAGTCATCCTTCAAGTCGTGATTTGAGTCCCTTAGTGTTTTTTTTTTCTTCATGATATCAATTTACCTAAATTCTATATATACCACTAATGATTGGATTCTATTGCTAGCAATTGCTCTTTTCTTTTCTACAATACTTATAGGGAATCATTGCATATAGTTATTCCAAAACCCTTTTCTATGCATGAAGACAAAGGATTAAAAGTGGGGGGAGCTTTCCTTGCTATCAAGTAGCTATTTTTGTATGGCTTGATGATGACCTTTTTTTTATTTATCTATCTCCCTAATTTCCTCCCTCTCACTCACCACCTTCATGGCCAGATTTATAAATCAATCTTCTTTAGTATAATGCCATGTGGTGGCCTTATCTCCCACTCAAAAGTCGGCAAATGGGCTGCCTTTGCTCATTTCATGGGTAATTGTTAATTAAGAACTAGTCAATTAACAATTATCCAATCATTTTTTTTCATATCAAAGCTTTTGGGTTCAGGGTTTTGAGAGTAACTCACATTTTGGACGTATAAAACAATGTTATCGTCATTTATAGATTGTTTGACAACCAATTTTTGAAATTTGATTATCGATGTTTATAGAACGATTCAGATCAAACATATGTAGACATTCGTTTTAGGTTTACAAGAAACTATTTAAAATGGCTTCACAAACTCATTATGTAACCAAACAGCGATGATGTGTTAAAAACATGCCTTGTGTATGTAGTGTATATATATACCAGCTCGATCAATAAGGATAACTAGTTTTTTGGCCCGCGCTCTGCCGCGGTAAGAAACTAATGATTTATTTGCAATCAAATTATTCACAAAATTATTCGATTAAGATACCTACCTAAATTTCACGTGTTGTATTAATCATTGCTAATAACATATGTCATTTGTTTGTGTAAGTGATACATAATATATAACTATCCTTACATAAGGTTTACGTAGTGTTTCATTATTATGGAAGACTTGCATAATATTTTGTTAATTGATGCATACAAAATGATAATATGTTCAAAAACTTTACATAATGTGTTAATCGTTAAGAAAGACTCATGTAATATCTTTTCTTACATAATAGCTATCACTTTATAAATTTCACTTTATCTAGTGTCTATAAATTTTAAAAATGAATTTTTATTTTATTTAATCGTTATAGAATGTTGCTGATATAGAATTTTTATATATAAATCTTTCATAATATGCGGTCTAATAATAAAATCAAGTTATAGAAAGTAACGTTTTATTGAATTTGTAATTTATGTAACTGTTATAGATGTTGTTACATAAATCTTTCAACATGTCACTATAGTAGAAAATTAGAAAACTATCCAAATCATTAATATACGACTTTGACACAAGTACTTATAAGCAATAACTAACTACCATAGTCTTGTTAAAAGAAAGAAAAAAGTAAAGCGAGAATTGCAGGGAAAGAAATTAAAGTTTGGTTTGGGTGACCACTCGATTACATTTCAACTCATTTTCTAAATTACCCTTTTTTGTAGTGACATGTTAAAATGTGATCTCTCTAGTGTTTATATATGAAAAACTTCTCTTTGTGTGGCAGGTATGGTATAGGTATGACTTATAAATATGGGTCGGGGAGGCTATAACCATACTTGCCCTCATAAACCCGCCCCATACTCAGTCAATGCGGGAATTCCCCGCATTGGCTGGGCTGGGAGCGGTCGGGTACCCACGATTGTGGTTTTGATTTACATCCCAGTGTAATTGGTAAATAATAAATAATTATTTTTTTGTAACCTTTATGTAGTATCATAAAAATTTCAAAAGAATTCTTTTGGTGAATAGAATGCTAAAGAGCATCCTTGCCACTGCGGAAGACTAACATAAATTTTTTTTAACTAATATATAATAAATAACTATATCCCTATAGGTTTTACGTAATTTATTTATAAAATTTCAACTAAATATTTATTTATTTGTAATTTATGTAATTATTATATAATGTTGTTATTTAATGTGTGATTTAATAATAAAATCAAGTTGAAAAAAGTATCGCATTTGTAAATTAACTTACCTTCCATTTGATTAAATTATCATGTAGAAATAGTTTACCTTTCAAAACTTTTATGCAATGCAAATTGATGTAATGATCAATAATAGTAAAGGAATTTTCGTTCAAACTTATATTATAATTCATAAATTTTTTATAGAATGGTGTTACGTAAATGTTATGTAATGTGTGGTTTAATAATAAAACCAAGTTATGAAAAATATTGCATCTTATTGTTATATAAAAGTTAACAAACTTTAGGTAGTGTTTTAATTATTAGGAATATTCAAAAAATGGACTTTGGCTCTCTGCTGGTATGGACTGATGCTTATGATAATAGTAGATATAATAAGAAATGCAGCAAGAAGTATAAAAAAATGAGGAATTTTGGCGTTGGAAGTTTGGGTGGGTGCTGCCGCATGATTTAATGTCCTTAGTGAACAGTGAAATTAGGGAGATTTTTTCGTGATGAACAGTGCATTAAACTTGCACTTTTAATTAATTGATTGATGTACAAAAGATTAAATTAGCTCAATAGTATCGTGAGATGAGTTTTTTTTATATCTTAATATTTTCGTGGCACAACAATAAAAAATCTCTTTGTTGTCAGGTATCTTATTTAACCTGAGCAACGTAACCCTGATTGAATTCATAGTATTCAACTAATGCCCTCCTCTATAGGGGAAAACAACTATTTTTCTAATGTCATCTTTGGCTCTTTCAGTACATACAATAATATAAGTTAAGGGAGTTGTTAAACCAGTCTTAATTTATAGTGTACAAGCTAGTGCTGTTTTGTGGTCTAGTAAAGACTTCTTTGTACTTTAATTTGTTGGCTGTATCCTAGTGTGCATGTACAAGCTTCATAATATTCAATGATATGTATGTGTACTTGTGGGCTGTGGCTTCCAAATGTGTGTAAGTTTTGTTGTGGGTTTCAGTGTAGGAAATTGAATTATAAGCCTTGTCCTTTTTCCAAAGTAGAAAATTACATAAAATAACCTACCCACATCAATAGGGTATTGTTAGTAAAAGTAAAGGTTCATTTGACTAATGGGTTGAATATCTCAATAACAAAAAGATAAGTTTTGATGTCGGAAGTTCAAGTTAGATGAGATTAATCCGAAAAAGGAAAGATAAATAGAGATATTGATAAAGAGAAAACTCAATTATAATTACTCTGACACGGGAGAGATCAAGTTTGTTACAAGCAATCTCGAGAGGAAGATAAAGATTTTTTACAACCTGATTAATACGATCCTCTGACTCTCTATTAAACATTTCTCAATGAGTTTGAACCTGAAGATCGAATGTGAATCTCCAATATAAGTCCCGCTGGATCGATCCATTCTCCCAACGTTTTCCTAAGCTAAAGAGTACTACAGGTAGACAGGTAGTACATCTCAAGATATTAGTTTTGCAATCAACTGCCATAAACCCTAGAGTACTTATGTTTCCGCGTATTTGGTAAGGACATGCATTGTTTGACTGATAATATTAGCTTTGTCTTTAGCCCCTCTTTCATTGTGGGTCAGTTTTTGTTGTCACAAAACAGTTAGCCACAGGCCACATCTTTGGTTGGTCCTAAATACATTCTTATTATGAGCCACTTGGACACAATAGTCTTCAAATAATATCTATTCGATTGCTTACTTGTAATGATAATGGTATATATCATGCAAAATTTGTCTCATGGTCTCTATCACGACCCTGTATTATGGCTAACGATATTATATATCGTTACTATCGAACTGAATTATATTCAGCGTCGGAGCAATAAAAAGAGGTATCACCAAGAATCAAGGAGGCGAAATCGTTACACAATTGAGCTCTTGCATTAACATGTGAGAGTTTTCACAAAAGGATATAAAGACTAACTCATGCATGATCTGATTCTTATTAGTGTTCCATCTACAACCTACAAGCCAATTAAAGAAGAACACAGCTTCTAACCGATTACCTTACGAATGTCACAAAAAATCTCCAAACTTCAACCTTGACATACTTTGAACCCGAATTTAATTCACCTTTTGGATCTACCAATTCCAAAAACACACACAATTTACCAAGAGGCCAATTAAAGAAGAACACAGCTTCTAACCGATTACCTTACGAATGTCACAAATAATCTCCAAATTTCAACCTTGACATACTTGAACCCGAATTTAATTCACCTTTTGGATCTACCAATTCCAAAAACACACACAATTTACCAAGAGGTGGCATCTTCTCATTGTTGCAAAGGGATATGATGAGTGCCCTAATTCGTTGGGAAAGTTTGGGTGATTTTGACCCTTTGGAATCGTGAGAAGTAGGGCATTGGGCCGGTGGAAAGCAATTGTTGGGAGGGAAAGCCAATTCCTTTCCCCTCACGGGAAATTTCCCATTCCATTTCCCAAAAGGTAGAGGCCTTTTTTGCCTTTGCTTTCTTTTGCATATGAGTGTGCTTTCTTTTGAAAAGTTGGCTAACAATTAGCCTATAGATGAACAAAGAGACGAAATGGCAGCCATTGCTTTATTGGTTTGCAAAATCCAAAACCTAAAGGTGAATGAGACACCTCCTCCAACTCAACCATATATAAACATATCGGTTGATGAGTCATCCAACGTATGAACAATGGGAATTGACTTCCCCCCATCCATCACCCTTTGTCCCTTTGATGAATTGACATTTATCCACATTCATTTACTTCATCAACAAGAACCCTTTTTCATAGAGTCTCATTTACTTCTTCATTAGGGTAGTCTCTATGAAGTGACCAATTCCTCTAGTAGGGGAGTGGGAGAAATCTTGACCAATAGGTTTACCGTTTTGTTATCATCGTGGTTCTTGGATCAGTTGGATACTGGGTAGAAATATACTATTGCAATTTGATTGCTACAACATTATGTACTTCAGATGGAGGTAGGCATACTATAGAAGATAAGGAAACTTTTGGAACAAATAGTGTTCACATTTCATTCAAGATCGAGTATATAACTTAACAGGAGACGACAACCATATACTTATCGATTTATCTCTTTCAACTTCAACCTCTCTACTACCATGAAAAATGGTCCCTGAATGATTATTTTACAACATATATAAGACACTTTTTTCATACAAGTACAATTCATTCCCTACAGCTATCTTTAAAGTGGGATTACTACTCTTGGAATAGCTTTACAACTCTACAGGGCTTCCACCCTCTCCTTCCAAAATCTCATTTTCCATACTTGTCAAGATCATAAAACTCAATGTTCTTATACTTCTGAGATATGATCTCTGCTTCAACTTTCCTCGCAGTGTCGGTGGCACAACCAACAAGAATTAGCACAGAGGTCCCTGCAAATCCTCGGAATGCTGTCAAGTGCGTGATCTGTTCAACCACTGCTGGACCAGCTGCCAGGACGGCCAGAAAAGCCGAACCAAGAACTGAAATTCTGCTTAGAACCTAGAAGGAAGCACAGCAATGCAATATTTATGAGGTAGCAGAAACAATTGTGGAAGACAAGGATTAATTGACCCTTCTAGTTGTTAAAGATAAAACTTACTGTTTTCAGAAAGGCTGCAGTACTTTTACCGGGACGGACCAATGGGATGGATGCACCTTGGCGCTTCAATTGTTCACTCACATCATCAGGGTCCAATTGAAGGAATGTGTAGTAGTAGTTGAAGAAGGCTATAAGCATAATGTTTGTAGGGAGATAGAATGAACCTACAAGAAATTTTGTTCCCCATTTCAGTTAGTTTTGATGCTGCAAAAATTTGAACCTTTACATTGTGGACGAAAAAGGAGATAGATTGGTAATAGGTTAGATGGGCAATTTGGGTTGAATTCGGGCTGCATTCGTTCTGTTATGGGAAAATTAGGTCACTATTCAACCGAATTCGGGTCCTAAAGGTCAATTGAATTACAGATTGTTCGAGCAGTGGGCTAATCAAGCTGCAGCTTGGGTGGCTGCCAAGCATTAACTTGAGTTATCAACCATGTGATCGGTATGACCAGATATTGACAGCTATAGCTACCAAATAAATATCTTACCTCCAGGGTTCAGAGCCAAGGCAGCCTTTTTCAGCACAGATATTCCAGTGAACCGGGCTAGAGTGCCAGGAAGAGCCAATGATGACGTGGAGAAAATGATTGGCATCACTCCAGAACTATTAACCTGTGTTTTGATCAAAACAATACATAAGAAGGTAAGAAAATGGGAAGACGTGTCAGCTCAAACCGATCATGCAGAATGAACACAAACCTTGAATGGAAGATAAGCAGACTTTTGAAGGCTACCACCACTGCTGCTGCTATATCTTGAGGCATAGTTAAGCGGGATCTTCCTCTCTGCTTCCTGGAAAAACTCATCACCATTACTTTACCGCCCTTATTTCCTGATTGAATTAGGATTGGATAGAAAGCAGGTTACCTGAACATACACAATGCCAAAGACTAGCAGTAAGAATGACGCTACAATGGTACCAAGACCAATGTAGTTCCCGTCCTGCAATGCCTCAGCTGCAGTCCTACCAAAAGAAGCTGGCAAGTAGGAGATGATGCTTGTGAATATCAAGAGAGATGTCCCATTGCCAAGCTTCAAATCCGAGATTCGTTCACCGAGGTATGTAGTGAGAACCGAGCCAAGTGTTAGTAATGTGACGGATGATATAGCCCATTCTGAACTGAAGTCATTGACGTAGGGACGAAGGAAGAAAACTTGACCAATTGCCTGCAATCAGCGAATCATAATACTTGAAATACAAGATTTCGTATCAAAGGTAGACAATATAGAATATTTAGTGTTAGAACCTATCATGCATTTTGGAAATACACGGACTTTTGCATCAAAATCAGGCAAGAAAATCATATTCATACACAGTAAAAAACTAGCATTTCCAGAATTACAACTGACAATTCATAGTACTAAACTCACCCTTATCTTTCAGATTGACATTTTTTTCTTTTTGGGGTTACCTGTACTATAGCAAATCCAACCGAAGCATATCGAGTATACTGAAGAATCTTCTTCCGTCCAGCTTCCCCTTCTCTTTTCTGAAGATCTTGCAACTTGGGATACACTTGAGCAAGAAGCTGGAACACAATCTGTGCATTGATGAATGGAACTATACCAAGAGAGCAAATCCCCAACCTACCAATTCCTCCACCAGAGAATGAATCCAAAGTGCTCAGCAAGCTATTCTGATCTAAATTCCCCACAAAAGCTTCCCTGTTAACACCACCAAGTGGGATGTAGATTCCAAGGCGTGATAGAGCTAAAAAACCCAATAGCTTGAGGAACTTTCCTGGCAATGGGCCCTTGAAGAAATCCCCAAAATCTATTGAACTGTCCTCAATTGCAGCTGCAAAAACAAAAATTTGATAAAGACCCATGCTTTCATTGTGAAGTACACCCAAAATGCAGAGCATCCAACCAAAACTGTAATCTAAGGCCAAACCTGCAACTCCTCGAGGTAAAGGCTTGTCTTTTCTTGAACTACTTGAGGAACCCAGTTCGAAAATTGGGGATAACAAAGAGACAAAGCTTTCCCAGGCATCACCTAGACCAGAATCTCCATTTGATTCAATGCCCAATGGATCAAAAACTGGAACCTCGCAGCTGAGAAACGAAAATTCAATTGTTGAAACAATTATCAGTCAAAAGCTGTCAACTTTGTCCATTGTTAAGTTGGAAGTCACTGCTAATCGAGCTCGTAAACTCTTGGTGTGCACTACCCATTTGGATCATTCAATATAACTTTGGGAAAAGAGAGAATCTTTTACCTTTTGGAGCTGAGAGTAGTGCTCCATCGCTTGGGAGTAGTGGCGGCGGCGACGACGACGGCGGGAGCTCTGATGGGATTTCGCCGGGAGGAGAAAGTGTGTCGCCGGAGGAAAGTTGGAAGTACTGGCGACGGGTTGAAACGAGAGAGTGTGAACTTGAGACAAGGCGTTGCTTCTCCGACCGTTATCACCATTATCTTCTTCCTAAGAACCGGAAACAAGTTCCCTTTTTTAACTTCCAGCTTTCATGTTTTCTTTTCTGCAGCATTAGTCGGAAGCGTCGCCGTTTTACCCATATAGAAGAAATTGACAGTGTTGACTCACATTTAGTGGACTTTAGGTTCCAAGGTGAAAAAAAAAAGAAACTTAAAAAATGAATTCATGCAACTTATGAAATTTCATATAAGGTTTGGGAGTCACAAAGTTGCATAGGAAAAATCATTATATTCTTGTTCGAGTAAGCGTTGCCTGGCCTAATGAACTTGTCAAAGGGATATCAATAGTTACAGCTTATATTACAACATAGGATCTCAAAAGTCAAAACACTCCAAGTCTCCAATAACCTTTTTCATTTCTGCAATCTAGGGAAGCATTTCCAGACTAGCAATGGAGCACCAATCTGATCTCCTGTTGTTATCCTCTGTAAGATCCTGCAAAAACATATTCGTATAGCTATCCACATTCACATCCTGATTGAGAGATTATACATCCTACTTAGTCAGCATCGACAGAGAAGTCGGGCTCCTCTGGCTTCTGTAGCTTCACCATATCCACATCCTTCAGCTTCTGCTGCACTCCTCTCCTAGTATTCGCCGCGAATCTCGAAGCCAATATCGTTGCCCCAAGGTTGAGTTTCCCTCTCGAGGCACTTGAACTTCGTTCCTCTTCTTCCTGCGCCATCATCATCTCGAGTTCCCTCTGCTGGAAAGATTCCGACATCGTGAGAGTGTGTTCCACCATCCTCTTTTTGTGCCGACGCCAAGCTGCTTGGATGAAGCAGGCAGCCCATGTCCTCCAGTGATGTGAGTGATACCTAAACGTATGTTGCAGCTTCTTGCTATGCAGTCGCCTGAACTGGTTCGCCACAAACTTGAGATCCTCAGCTCGCAGGGCAAACGCTTCGACCTCATTGAGCGATCTCACAGTTCTAGTTGATGAAGGAAGGTTGAGAGATGATTTGGGATGGAGGGCCCATGCGAGGAGCTCCTCGCCACAGAAGTCACCAGGCTTGAGCATGATCGAGTTGAAGAACCCGGTTCTTCCACCATTAGTTGTGGAGCTTTCGAGACTGCCGCGAATAATGAATAGCATTTCGGTCACAGGGTCACCTTCCCGCACAATGTAGGTGCCTTGCGTGCTAAGGGAAGACACCAGGCGCTCGCAGATTGCATCAAGCAGCTGATCATCCATCTGCGAGAAGAAGGGAACCTGCAAACCAATATAGCAAGTTTTGTTATCATCATGCTGCCAATTTACAGATGTCAATGGTCCGATCGTGTCCAGAACCTGATCGAATCAGTATAGGTCTGGGTCGAAAATAAAGAAAAAACTAGAAACATGGTGGCAGTGTTCTATGCGAACTGTAAACTAGTTAGCAACTTACACGTCGAACGAGATCGAGGCAGAGGTGGCGTTGGATGTCACGGCGGAGATCGGTAGGCAAGCCACGTAGGATGTCTTCCTCGAGGACACCTCGCGTTGCAACCCACTTGTATTGGACAAAGCGCCGAACACGATCCCTCAGATCTTCGGGAAGCTGGCGATGTCTCATCCACTCTTCTGTGTCCCTTCGCTTGAGCCGCCATTCCTCAAGTCTCACTGTAAGAGATTGAAGGTACGTCTAGCAAGTGACACACAAACATTTTCCATTAAAGACCCTCAAGGGAATGCACAGCAGCACAACAGATGATAAAAGTTGAACAGAGAGAAAAATGGGTTAATACTTAATAGTTAAATGATCACTAGATTATGGGGTATGTATAGTCAGTAAACTAAAAATAGTAACATGGACATGGTAACTAAAGTAAGTGATGCGTAAAAAGTAGTCACTGCTGACTTCTGACTCATTCCATCAAATAAGTTGTTAGTTCAACTCAGTCAACTTGCCGAATAGGCTCATTGAGTCATTAAAATTTCCTAATCCACAACCCACCGACCCACTCGACTCATCCATTTCTTATCCAACCTTAAACCACAACCAAAAGCTCAAACTCAAGATGCAACCCATCGTCCAATTGGAATGGTCGGGCCAGGTGGGTTCCCGGGTTGACGAATCAGCTCCAACTAACAACAGATTAGTTGAAATGAACCATTATAAAATTGGTTCTATTATAAAATTGCAAAGATGGTGCCTTTCCTGTACCTGCATATTGCCAATCAAATGGGCAAAAAGAACCAGACCCATGATTGATATCAGTATAGCAAATGATGTCTCCCCAATGAATGTGCTTGTTGTCAAGTTCTGGCCATATGAACTGTGAAAAATAACATTCCAATTGTATAACCGTTGAAATATGCAAACTATAAATGTCTAAACAAGATTATGTAAAACCTATATATTCAGATATGGCACACTGGTACGGACAACCAGTAAAATTGCTGGAAAAGTCTCTTTTAGTGTGCTAAGTTAACCAGACATACCTTAATTGCTGCAACCCCCACCACAAGCAATAGAAGTACTTATCCACAAAACTAGTAGAGACAACCTTTTTCTTCACCGCATTTCCAAACAACCCATATTGGAACTCGATATCATTACTCGGATCACAATCTTGAAACACAGTGGTGTTTTTTGCCCATGCTATCCTATCGTTGTGGTTGAAAGCACCGCAATCAAGGTAATTAAGCTCACACTTAATAGGAGCTGTTTCATTCCTACAAATCTTTTTCCAGCAGGTTGTGTGCCTCTCAATGGATAGCAAATACCATGATGCTCCTAGAACCTGGAAAAAGAGGTTAATTCGATAAAAAAGAATTGGAAGATCAAGTGTAGAATTAGGTATAAAAAATGACGAGAATACATACATGGCTTGCCAGCATGTACAATATAAGATTGTAAGCAGCTCCTGCCCAAGCTGTCCTAGTGACCAAACCAGTAGCCTTGATAATTTGAGAGCTCAGGGGAAAGATGAGATATAACCTAGGGATATACTGAAGCAACACGATCAGGGCAAGCGCATTATTGTTATGATCTGTTCGAGGCTTTCTAGTTGCGGGGATGATGAACCAGACAACTATCTGCATTACATTTCAGTTCATTGTGAGTTTTTCACAGGGAAAATGGTATACACTAGAAGAAGCTGGAAATGGCAGTACTAGAATCAGAAGTTATGTGATGCTGTTCTTCTTCGCAAAAGAGAGGTTACACAACAAAAACTATCTTAACATCTAAGATTATCAAAGGTTACCTGAGGAAGAGGCAGAGTGGCGATGAGGTCGATCAAAAAGTCAGATCGAAAGTACCTCCGAGCAATCAGCTTGGGATCCATGACAAGTTCACCACGGCCAAATACACGAGAGCTCGGAGCAACATAAGCAGTCCTGAACTTCAACACCACATGCAGAAGATAGAACAGATCTGCCACAGTTCTGAAGAATGTGACGACGATTCTCAAGTTGTAATCCGTGCTAACACAAGAACTCTTCCCATCCCCTCCTATGGTAGGAAGATAAAAGTAGAGTGGATCGACGAAGAGAGCCACCAGGCATGATACAAGGAAGATCCTGTTCCATCTCAATACAATGTCACTGCCAGGATCCAGCATTTTCTGGTGCCATGGTTGATAGTCCTCCGAGAAGACCTTGGTCGCCCTTACACCTCCCATCTTCGAGGTCTCCGGCAGCTTGCCACCTCCTTTGCTCCCCGGCATCAGCAGTGAAGATGATGAGACTTTGTCAGGGTTTTCAGGGTATATTGCTTCACCTTTGCCCCATGGAAAAATTCCTACATGTTGCTTGCCCTCTGGATAAAACCTAACAAATCGAAACCCTCAGGGATTAACAAAAACACTCTTTACTTCAATCTTCTAAATGGTGGTGCGTTAGAACTCTGAACTCAACTTGTATCTTTCAGAACATAACGTTAAACAAGCCTGAAGTAACTGAAGGAATCGAGAATTTTCAACAGGCAGACTGTCAAATTTTAGCTGGTTCAAGAGGCTCCCTAATTTTCGTGATTCACAAAGCAATTTGTTCACTACTACACAATCTACTATATTCAAGCCTTCGCAATCAAATATGTGTTTCTTCTTCTTCTTCTTCCACAAAAACCCACCAAAATTGAAGGCCAAAGCCGACGACTTTCCCTAACTTTCCTCCGAACCCATTACATCTAGAGCCACGAAAACTCAAGCAATGCTAAAGAACAAAGGATTCGAGAGGCAGGAAAACACAAGGACAAACCTAGAGCCGCCATTAAAAAGCACAGTAAACTAACCTCACGAGCTTCTCCTTCTTGAACTCCATTGCAGACCAAATCAGTCCATGAATGAATCTCCCCGATCTTCGGTCTGAACTAAATCCGCGCCGTAAATTTCACCACTTTTCCCGCAGTTCGCCCAGCAGTGAGCTGGCGAAGCAGCCAACTTGCCTGGGAAGGGTTTTTTTTTTCTATCCCTACTGCCCTCTCTGGCCGCTGCCCTGTGCTGAAGGGAAAAGGGATTCGAAGCAGGATGGGAATGAATGTCCAAATTTTGATTCGAAGGAAGAAGAAATTCAGGGGATTGGGGGAAAAAAAGGAAATATCTTACGCCTTCCTTTTTTTTACTGCAACAAGTCAACTTCGTCGACGCCTCGACGGCACAAATTTTTTTTCCAGCTCCCTCCTTGATCATTAATCTTTAATTATTTAATTACTGAGATTTTAGAATACCAAATGCTCTGTGCAAAAAAAAAAAAACATTAATCTTTAATTAACAACTCTTAATCGGAACGTGTTAGGTTTGATTGTCGTATATATGTTAATCAGAAGGAAATTATAGGTGGAATGGTTTGGGTTTTAACTTTTTATTATAGTTTGGGTTTCTCCTTCTTTTCATTTTATGTCTTTGTGTGTTCCCACATTGGAAAGGTATTACTCATTGTCTATGAAGACGTGCTTGGGTGTAGTATTATGACTTCATTTGAAAGCTTCCAATTGATCAACTACACTTTGTGCATTTCCAAGGTGATCTCTTATGGTTTAGAGGCAGACAATGGATCGGGTAGGGGCGGATATTATATATTCATTATTTTACTCAAAATAGTTCGGATTTTACTTATACTCATACACACAATAATAGAGGTAGAATATCAAAGTCATATTCATACCTGATTCAGTTTAAAATATCATCATTTCGTGCACATTATTAGAACGAGGTAGTTTATAAATCGTTTCCAAATTCCAACAAACATATTACCAAATAGTTTCTTTTTTATAATCAAAGGCAAGAGTCGGGGCATATTACCTAATAGCGGGTCATAAAGATTGAAGAGAGGATTGCGAATGAAACAATGTGATTCTTAGATGCCAAATAATCAACTATGTAAAATTTGTATCCCGCATGATAATCACTGATGTAAGACATCACAATCTTTCATTCTCTATAAATGAAACGTATAAAGAACTATCGAACAGGGCTTTCGTTGTGCTATTGGGGTGATTTATCACCCTTATGGCTCAAAAAAGAGTCATTGGAGTTTCTTGAGTTCATCTTATTGAAATGAGCTAGATTCTTTTGTAGTTTGTTTCTCAGACAATGACAAAATCACGATTTATCCGATTCATCGCGTGGAAAAAAGAAAATAGTTTAGCCACAACAATTTTTCGAGATTTAATTTTGATTTTGGAACAGAAACCCCAAGTTTGTCGAGTTGTAACCCAACATAGGATTCAGTTAGTTTCCAAGGTATGTTTAAGGTAATGCTTACAACATGCAGTCGCTCAACATTTACATTTGTGTAAGTTATAACCTATAAACTGTTAGTATGTGGTATATGATCCACGACTGAACCTACTCTCTCAATAACTCGAGTTATTGGGATCAATTGGTTCTTGACATGGTATCAGAGCTTTTTGTAACCGAAAGATCTTGTGTTCGAATCCTGGTAACCTCCATTTGTTAGCACATGGTGTCTGATGTCTGTGCAAACTTCAAGCCTCTTATTATCTTTTGCCGGAAATCTTGATCTCTTTTTCTAAGTACGGCCTTTGTTGGTAGTGTGGGAAAGACAAAACAAGAATACAAAGTGAAAGTGTTGCGGGATCGATTTTGTCTCATCGTTCACACACACATTTGGACCTCATGCCCACGGGCTCTCGTCCTCCACGTGTAGCGCATGTAGTCGTAGTTGCAGAATCTGATGCCCTGACAAATGACAGATGGAGGAGATATCGATCAAGTTTGTGTTCGTTATGTTCAACTTATTGAGGAACTTCGTTCATACTTCATAGACCAATACGTTTCGATTGACATACATCGATACACACAAATCTTCAAGTACAATAGAGTAGGTACATGTATGATCGTTAACACATTCGTTACTTGAACTGATTTGCGTACGTATAAATTGCTTAAACAAACAATTCGTAGTTGTGTTTCGAGAAACAACGACACAGAACCGAGATGAATATTTGCCGATAGGATATAAGGTGAACATTTCCTGTACTTTCCTTTCAAGAGACGACCGTCTTCTAACGATAATCCATCATCCCTCTCTCACGTCTCTCTGGTCTCAGTTTCAATAACAAGAGTCTCAATCATTTGATTTTGGAGGAGGGAAGAACAAGATTACAAGGAGCTCGGGTTATTGGGCCACATGCCCAATCTTTGAAGAACATGAACAATGCTTCGGCCCGGCTCACATGGGGAATTCGATTGATACACATAACTCATAGGTCTAATTATAGATCAACACATAAAGAAAGCCCATCCAATCCCCAATCATATTCACACTAATTAACCTTTGCATCAATCCGCCAAAGAAGAAAGAAAGAAGCTTAAGGAACTAAAAAAGAGTTATTTTGTTGTATTATCGTTGGAACTAGATGGCCCCATTGATTCATTACAACAAGCAAATGCTCATTTCTAGTACTTAACCTATTGCCTATTGGTAATATAGTATACGACAAAAGTTGATGATTCTCGACGAACAAAGAATTCATCTATAACTAAGAAATCAAGACTTACCCGTAAATTCAATTTTCAAATATTAATAGGTTTCTTAACATAACATAGTGGATTAGTGGTACTAAAGTAGTTATAATGTAGGTGTTCCTATCTAATTGAAAACTAACAATGTGCAAAATCATCCTTCAAAATAAAGGAACCAATTCTTGCAATAAAAGAATGGATTATATGAATCAGTCAAATATGAGAATTGTTAAGTATAAACCCATCACAAAACCAACAACAAAACAGGGGGGCAAAAGAAATCCACATGCTGTAAGCTCAAGTAAACCTATCATCATCATCATCTTCTTCTGTACAAAGATCTACCCTTTTCTTTCATTCTTTTTTACCACCATTTTAGGCTCTCTATTTTGGAACTCTCCTAACCATCTTTCTCTTTCTATACTCCATTTTTTTTAAGAAGCTAGGGTTTGGTTACCTTTCATCCTCTTCTTTGCACAAACCTCGATTCCATGGTCTCTCTACTACCGAAGAAGCATTGGCAAGCCCTTGAAGCAGCTTGATCACTTCACTAGTGTCGTCAAGGTAATACTTAGCCATGCTCGGCTTCTGCCCGACCGTGCAGGCGAACACCTCTGCAATCGACGGCGAGTTGGGGTTCTCGACCTGCCTCGCTATCGACTCGAACATGTCCTCGTCGGATCGATCGTCGCCAATGCAGAGCAAGAAGTCGGGCGACTTGCCCTCGCTTTGCATCGTCGAGACCAAATTCGACACCACGATGCCTTTACTCACTCCCTACGAAACACACAAACAAGAAACAGAACCATGCTATTTACTTAATTGAATCTACCGAAGTGAAAAATTGAATAGATGAAAACAAAGTTTTACTATGTTGTTTGTTAATTACCTGGGGTTTGACCTCAACAATGTGCTGTCCTCTCTTGACAACAACAGGCTCATTGGCGAGCACATTCTCGAGGTGATCGAGGAGTTCTTTGGCCTGACTCTGCCCGAAATGCGCATCTGCCTCCTGATAGTGCCACACCAATGCGCTCTCCTTGTGCTCGATGAACGACCCGTCCGTCGTCTCGGTGTAGAGCTCCATCACCGGCTCCGCTATCTTCTTCCAGTCGCTGTCCGTCACCACATGGCACGCCTCCCACGACGATTCCCTCGTCCAACTGCGTTCGAATTACGCGTCAGAAATGACGCAGGAAAATGTTGGTACTGAGACCAACATTGTCAGCGGAGCTAATACGCGTATTATTAGCTCTGCTGACACTACAAAAAATGAAGTGACACTTTTTTTGACAACTTTACCTAGTGAAGTAACCATGCTCCGCAGAAATCCCCAATTTCGGACACCGGGAGAACCACTTGCTCAACGGCTCCTTCCCCCGCCCGCTGACGACGAACACGACATTCCGGGGGTCGTCGCAGAGTCGGTTCAGGACGGCGATGACCTCGTCGCTGGGGGACTTGTCGACGGACGCCTGTGGCGTCATGGTGCCGTCGTAGTCCAGCAGGACGAGCCTGCTGGACGACGACGTCGTCGAGGTCCTCCTGTAGGCTGTCAGGATCGGCTCGATCTCGAGCTTCCTGAAGCTCGGGCCCAGCGCGACGATCCTGAACCCGAGACCGAACCCAACCCCCCAGTACCGCTTGTTGTAGTGGTCCCGGCAGGCACGCTCGAGGTCCTGGTCGAAGCTCCTCGCCCAGTAGGCCACGTCGTGGGAGCTGATGTACTTGTAGTGCTTCTCGTGGCGCATCGTCTTCTCGTCGTCCTTCATCGTGATCGCCTCCGACATCGCGATCGCGACCGCCTCGATGTTCCACGGGTTCACCCTGATCGCGCCGCTGAGCGACGGGGAGCACCCGATGAACTCCGAAACGATCAAGACGCTCTTCTTCTTCTTCTCGATCTTGTCACACATTTGATCCAAAACAGGGCTCCCCTGCCTACAAACTGTGTACTTGTAAGAAACCAAATTCATACCATCCCTAATGCAATTCACTACGCAGCATTCTGCAACTGCATAGTAAGCAGCTTTCTCCAGAGTTGTCAGAGCACCACCATTGATGAACACAATCGGACTGTAACCCTCTGCTGATTTCCCAAACCTCCGATTCACCGAATTCGCCACCGAATTGATCTCGTCCTCCACTTCTCTGACATCTTTCCCTTTGCTCCTTGCTGGGTTACAAATCTGGACAAGAACAACTCTGCCTCTCAAATCCGGATTCTGCTCCAGCAATCTCCCCATTGCCAGAAACTTGAGGCTGATCCCTTTGAAGATGTCCAAATCGTCGACCCCAACAATCAAGGTCTTCCCCTTGTACTTGTCTCTCAGCTGCTTCACCTTCTCCACGATCTCCCCGCCGTTGAGATGCGATTCGAGCTGGCCCATGTGAATCCCCACGGGCAGGATTTTGATGCTCACAGTTCGCCCAAAATACTCCAATCCAATATACCCTCTCTTCGATTCGTAATCCAGCCCCAGCATTCTGCTGCAGCAGGACAGGAAATGGCGGGCGTAATCGAAAGTGTGGAACCCTACCAAATCGCAATTGAGCAGAGCCCGGAGAATCTCCTCCCTCACGGGAATCGTCCTGTAGATTTCCGATGAGGGAAATGGGCTGTGGAGAAAGAACCCCAATTTCACTCTGTGGTACTTTTTTCTGAGAAAAGTGGGGAGGAGCAAGAGATGGTAATCGTGGATCCAAACCGAATCCTCCTCCGGATTCAGCACTTCTACCACTCTCTGCGCGAAGATTTTGTTCGCCGAGACGTATGCCTGCCAATTCTTCCGGTCGAATCGGGCGGCGCCGCCGTGCGCCGGCGAGATGGGCAACATATAGTGAAACAGGGGCCAGAGGTAGTGCTTACAGAAGCCGTGGTAGAAATTGTTGAGCACATCGGGCGGCAGGAAAACGGGGACGCACCGGAAATTCTCCGCCAGCGTCTGTGAAATCTCCTCCTGATGTTTCGGGTCGATTTCGGGCTTCAGGCATCCGACGTACCAGACCTCTGTTTCCGGCGAGAAACCGTCGCGGAGCTGGAGGTAGAGGGAGTCCTCGTCGAGCTCGAACCGCCACGGCGCCGTGGAGAGCTTGTTCGGGTCGGGTATGGCCCGGATGGGGAGGTGGTTCGCCACCACAACCCGGCGCTCCGGCGACGGCGGCGCGGCGGCCGGAGAAGGCGGGCATCTGGGTTGTTGTTGTTGCTGCTGCTGTTGGGTGGGGACTGAAGAAGGGGGTGAAGAAGGGAGCTTGATGGCCGCGGGAGTCGGCCGGCGATTGATGATGCGGAAATCGTCGACGGAGATTAAACTCAGACACTCTATGCAAGACTGAGACAACATTTTTTTGGTTCAGCTGAAAAATCGCATCAGAGAAGAAGAACAGAGGAAAAGGGGGAAGGAAGAAGGAAAGAAGAATGGGAGAATTTTTTTTTTATGTGGGTTGGAGGTTTTATAATAAAATTAAATATATATGAAAGAGAGAGAAAGAGGTTTTATGGGAAGAACAAAAAACGGTCTTTTTGGATTTTAATTAATTAATTTTAAAATAATATTAATGAAAATGAAGTGATTATGATGATAATGAGAAGGATTAGTTGGTAATGAGAATCAATAAAAATTAAGGATTGGTGATAAAAATTAAATTTTATTGATGAATTTTCCCTGTGTTAACTTCAAAGGACAAGAGGAGAAAAATCCAATCCTAATCCATATGGATAAGTGATTTTGGTGGGAGAATTGAGAGATTAGTATGGACAAAAGAGAATAATAATATAGCTGTTTTTTTTGTTTGAAAGTTGGAATTGAAGGGGAGTTTGAGGTTAAGTGAACTAACTAAGTGATAAAGCGTTTTTTTATTTATTTCATAATTTTGTACTAAAGCACGAATAATGGGTTGTGAAAACACAAACTAACACAAGGTTTTTTTTTCCAGCATCTTTACCAATCATAGCAAGCAAGATATATTCTCTTTGTTGTTCATACCATGAATAATCTAATACCGATGAAAGATTGAGGAGTTCGAGTAATCGATTAATTTTATGTCAAAAAAATATATTGAGTTTTAATGTGATAAGATAGAGTTTGTTGCTTGTAATAAAATTTGGATTGTTGGATACTCGTTATTAACCCATAAGATAATCTTGCTATTAAATCCTGATAACAGTGTATCAACCATTTGTGTTAGTTTTTCATTTTTTGCTTTACAAAATGTTAGCACGATTAAATATCGAAACTTGAACATAAAAATGAAAAGAAGGTTTCTCGCCCACTAAATCACAACTCATTTAAAATCTAAATACCTGATAGTTTAGAATCGTAATTGTACAATACATGTATTGAGTATTAACATTGGAAAGGGGGAAAAAAAATACACCATATTCTAAATTACATTATCCATAGAGTGATTTTTTTGGGTCAAACTTTATTTGCACTACCACCACCATGTTTAATCTTAAAAATAATATAAAGGAAGTCGGTCTTTCAGACTTTCACTATAATAGGATAAGTTCGACCAACAACAACGCAGCAATGGGACTTGCACCCATTTCTTTACTCTTTCATTTTTTAAACCAATTAATATTTAATTATTTACTCACTTTATTATCCTTATTATTAATCTATAGAACGATATGAACACTACCACTTAATTGGCCTTTCTGTTACAGGTTCAATGTTACATACTGTGATTAAAAAAAAATTGAAAAGGGAAAAAGGGGGATGGGAGGTTTTTTACTGTTATTTATTATACAAATTCGACAGTTATTATAACTTATAAGATAAAATCCTAAATGTATCCTTAATATGAAACAATAGTAATAAACTTACCAAAGTGGGGAAATTGAGGGTACGGTGAAAAGCTTTTTGTCGAGGGAGGAAACTTCGAGAGAAGGGTTAATGGATAAGCTGTCCAGCTAAGAGCAATGGTTTTAAATGGGTATATACTCACAATTATGGACTTCCCTATTTATGTTTCAATCAATCCGTTAATTAATTATTTCTTTGTAAGTACAAGCTAGCCATTAGTTGTCAAATTTCACCAAAATGGGTTTATTATATCTTAAAAGAATCTTCAAAAAAATCTCAATTTTATTAATTATCCAGGTTTTTATGGAGATTCATGATGAATCTCCGTCTTACAAGTTACTGTATCAAGTTGTTGGAATTTTAAGGTTATTAAAGAATGATGAGAACCATATTGTATAAGATTTTGTTGCATTTCTTGTTTGTTTGAGTCTATTTGTATAAAAATTCGTTTGATTATCATCCTTCAAACCAAAGAGACGACATCGTAGACAACCTGAATGCATTTTTGTCTCTCTAAGGATTGATACCTCCTGATCCTCTATGTAGCTTAAATAGCCTTTTAGCTTAAGCATCTCGGTTGCAAGTCATCAGAGCGACGATGACAAATTTAACCCAGCTATTCACCCGACTAGGGCTACATATATGTTTGGGGTCAAGAGGTATGTATCTTCACCCTATGTAGGGAGGGGGGTGTACATGATTCTTCTTTCACTCCTTCACATACACTGATCTCACCTCGTATTCTCAACCCATAATCCTTACATTCTCTCTCAAATCAATCAGATTTGAGATTACATGAAATCTATTGTGATCAGCACAACGCGATTCACATACATTTTTTCTCGTTTTTCTTAGCTTCATTAGTCAGTTTCTCTTCATTTCACAATGATTATCCATCAATTTTTAAACCATGATTTGATTTGAGACTATATGTATACACATAATCCTCATTGTTTTCATGGTACACATATATATTGATTTGAGGTGATGGATCACATATCATCCATATTATAAGGATAGAATGGTTGTGGCTTCTCTTTTCCTTTTCCTTTTCCTTTTCTCACAATTATATTTTTGGGACATCTCTCTATATTGATCGATATTCATCTCGTGCTTTGAATGAAATCTAGGAGAGGGTATCGGGCAGCAAATGGTGGTGATTGATTGATGGGTTATGAAAATGAAGTGATGGATTGAAAAATCCACGTGGGATATTTGTGCTTTTTTTTTAAATAAAAGAAAGACAGTAAAAAATATATATACAGAAGAAGAAGAATAAGAAGAAGAGAGAAACGTGGCGTGTTTGGTTTGTGACAGAATGGAGGGGCAATGAGCTTTAACCATGGTTGTCATGACGGTGGCATGCCACCCGGTTGAACCTGGTTCAACATGTGTCGGTCATGAAACCGGCATGACACCACCGATATGACCGGTATGATCGACTTAACCATTCTAAGTAAAATGACGTCATTTTAATGAATTTAATAAATAAAAAAATTAATTTAGTATTCATTTTATGAATGTAATAGTTAAAAGTTGATGATATTTGTTGGATTGTAACTAAATTGTCCACAAATATGTTTTATATATGATTAGATACATTGGATATTAATTGTTTTCACATTTTTTTAAACCGGCATGAACCGGCACAAACTGGTTATACCACCGGTCGTACCATTCCACTTGCCAAACCGGCTCAACGGTATAAACCGGTTTGACAACCTTGGCTTTAACTTTCGACTCGGCTGACCAATCCAATCCATGCATGGTGTCTCTTCCTCTTCTTAGTGGGTGGGTCACCATGTATGTACCCCTTAACCGAACCGTACTTTGTGAACTCGTGACCGGGTTCGAACCATAATCGAAACCGGTAAGATGTTATGGAGTCGTTCGCCTTCGTGAAAATAAAGGTTTTGGTACAATTTGGGTTTTGAAAAACCATGCATATATGAGGGTTTTGGGTTCATTATAGATTGGAAAAATATCATCGTTTGTTTCATAGATTTTATGATAGATTTTGTTAATTATATTTGCAAGTAAAAAGTGAAATTTACCTTTATTGCCCTTAATGATAGAAGAAGAGAAAGAAATATGAGGAGTACTAGATTGGTAAAAAAATGATGGACTTCGTCCATATGATCAATTCCCACCTAATTAAGAGGTGAGATTTTCAAATCCGTGGGGCCCATGGATTTGGACCCTCATAGTCTATGGGTCCCACAGATTTGTTACCTCTAAATGCTTGAAGCAAACAATGGCCGGACAATGGATTTTTTTCACAAAATCCATTATGGATTAGAGTTCAGATTTGGTTCAACAATCTGCGAACCGAAACCCATCCAGACTTATCATAAATCAATCTGTCCCAACCAATAACTCGAGTTGTGTGTGATAGGACCACATAAAGATTTTATACACTCCCTCTTAAACGAAAGTCAGCTCATGGGTTTGGAGTTTGCACATGCCCACCATTACTAAATGTTCTTTTAAAGACAATGATTAATATTGGAAGTTCGTGAGAACTTGAATACGTTACCTTAATAACAACAACCCTGTTATAATGCCATATTATAAATCCACTAATTCCAATAACTCGACTTGTTTATAAATGTTAATAATATGCCAACATGCATGCATGTGTATACGTAGCTGTTAAAATACCTCAATAGAAAAAGTATATACATATATATACCATAGCCGACCTACTAATTCTACATTCAACTAAATTTTTACTACTTTCACGCGTGCATCATGAGAGCCAGCCAACCTCAAAACCTTATCTTCAAATCCACTCCACCTTCTGATATCGATCTCTCTACCAAAAAAATAAAAAATAAATAATTGTTTCTTAGTTTACGTTCATCAACCGTTAGCTGCATAATAGTCATACATATATAAATATATATTTTGTATACCCACGATCACCGTCCATGTAATAATTAACAAAAGGTGTACATTTCACTTTGATTAGTCATGAATCTTGGTTGACTAGGCGTTTTTCCTTTACCAATACATGTTTGAACGCGTTCAAATAATAACTTGAGTTGCTTAAAAAAAATGTTGAACCGGTTTTTAATACATTAGAATATTATGTTCATTAAAAGTTTGGTACAAAGTATTTTTGAGATATATATTGAATACCGTACTAAATTTACACGATCTGATATTATAGAATATATAATTTTTTTTAATTGAAATCAGAATTGATTCTGGAGTGTTACTTAGTATCCGTGACTACGAGTCTAGGACGGATATAACACTATTTATTGAGAAAATTTTGAAAATTACAGTTAAGTAAACATAGTACACGACCCAAAGGCCACAAACTCGTGTCTTTCCTCACTATGTGATAAATAGCAATCCTCAGTCAACCTAAACTTGGTTTTTCAGGATTACTCTCGTTGCTCACTTAATCTCTTGTTAACTGAATACCAAGTAATGGGCAGTCTCGTAGTCGGCATCTACCTCCTAATCTCTTGCTTTGTATCCTCCTTTTCCAATTAATAAAATTGATATCCCCCATTAAAAAAAAAAATAAGGGGCATTTTGGGTGAGATTGAACAGTGTGAACGAAATCCAAAAGTCCGAACTCAGAAAGGATCAATTCGTCAAACTAATGCATGTTAGGGACCAACATGGCAATAAACAATTACTTTGTGCGGCAGAACAGATAATAATAAATGAAACCCTTATCCAGTTTTGCTTCAATATTTGTTTGGGGAAAAAAGGAATTATATCCAGAACGCGCGTGAGCCCCATCCAGACGTCTGACGTGGCTGCTCCCTCATGTTCTTCCGGGCCCCACATTATCCACAAAAGTAAAAAAAATGAACAGAACGATTCGCGAAGTCACGAGGGTATAGGCCGAAAGGCAGCTGAGCTGGACACCGGATAGTGACAGGTCACAGTTTTGATATTTATTGTGGCGTTTTATATTACATAATAATCATCACTATTTTCTTTCTGATCGAATAATCATTATTTTAGGAAATGAAGCAAAAAAGTCGACGGCTCCTCGTCTTTGTTTCTTCCTTTTATTACTCCTTTACCCACCAAATTGCACTTTACTACGTACCCACCCCAAGAAAAAAACTTAGAAAAATAAAAAATGTTCCTTTTATTACTCCTTTACCCACCAAATTGCACTTTACTACGTACCCACCCCAAGAAAAAAACTTAGAAAAATAAAAAATGTTGATAGAGGGTTTGGTGTTATTATGTAAATATTGATATATGGATGACCATTGTCATTACCACATTAGATGCTCACTTGGGAGTTACATGTAACCCCTATTCTTACATTATTATCTCTCATTTATATGTATTGATATAAGGATGTAGTGGTTACCAAAGTGTGCCTATAAATAGAGCATATTATTGTATCAAAAGTGAAGAATGAATAAGAAGAACTCTTCCCTTCTCTTCTCTTGTGTCTTTCCTCTCTAATCTTCTCTTGTAGTTGTTTATATTTTCATTAGTTTCATAACACGTTATCAGCACGAAGCTCTGCCAAAATTATCGTTGCTCAAGCCTCAAAGACTCTCGACATAATCTAAGATATTAGAGTAAGATCACAATATGATCAAGGTATATAAATCGTAGATCCTTTCTTATCGTATTGTCTTATTTGTGTTGAGATTATCTCATTCCAATATATAAAGATGTGTGTTACTTCTCATATCCATTGATATTGTATCAAGTCGATCTATTTGGATTAACAAGAAAAGTAATATAAGTGATGAGTTAATTTCTCAGTTCTCCGTGTTATCCTATTCTTATCAATCTTACATAGATATGTAGAAAATACAAGTTCCAAGAGCCCATATATTCCCCAGAAGTGGAAATTGAAGAATTCAAGGGCAAAGAAAGAAAAGAACATGATAATAAGAATATTGGTTTCGTATGTTACCATTGTAATGGAAAAGTGTGTTTGTCTCGTACCCGTTGTACGCAAAAGACTTTATTCTACCAAGAATCAAAGAGAAGAGCAAATTCAAATATGCTCATGCAATATCAATATTATAGAACATATTATTTGTATTATAAGTTGGTATATTCTCCATTAAAGATGAAAATGATATTGCACTTGAGACATTTTCATTCCCAGAAGTGAATGAAACAATCTATTCCCCGATGTGAATGGAGCTATAAACATGATTATATATATGCTAAATGTATTGTTTGGATCTTTTCACCAGAAGTGAGAAAAGAGGAGAAAAAGGAGAATTATAAATAAGAATGACATAACAATTGCATTATCAAAGTCATGATAACATAATGTACCAGTTGTACATTGAAATGCATAATGGAACGCATATATAAATTTAAAATCACCTAGTTAGTGATGGTATTGTTCCAAATAAAGCTTATTTAAATTTTCACAATTTTAGTATTATGATTCTTGTTTTCTATTATGTTTCATCGTGCCATTATTTTCATGCATAATTTAACTTTATAACTTTTATCTAGAACGATTAACTTGATAAATTCATCATTTTTGTCTTAAGTTTGAAATATTCTCATTTATTACTTTTAATATGTTTATGTAAAGTATGATTGTTAGAAAAATTTCATATAAACTATATGGTAGAGTACATAAATCAGAAAAAGCTTCCGAAGAGCTTATGTTTGGTTACTTGAAGTAACTAAATTATGTACTCGTGATAATAATTTGTGATGATATTCACTATGAATATGTGTTTACTAAGAATGCATCAAATCATAAGTCTCCTGAAGGGCGAAATACGGTACAAAATCTGGTAAAGCTCTAAAAGTGCTAATGTTTTGTGGCCTGAAGGACCCAAACTACCTAGTGATGATGCATTACCCAATTAAAAGGATATTCGTAAAATGAATATCTTATCAAGAAAATAGTGAAACTAATATTTGCATCACAAATATGTACTACATGTATATTAGTACAATCAGTACACATAAAAGTGTAAACCAGAAGTTTACAAGATTTGATAACTTGATAATTGGTTGGTCCGGTTAGACCATCCCGGATCTTGATGTGAAAAAAAGTTCTTTGAGAATTCATGAGAACATCATATGAGAAGTCAAAGAACTCTTCAACGAAAAGAGTTATTATGCCATGTTTGTTCTCAAGGAGAATAGAACAATTGATCAGAGCTTGTATAAGAGTTGACAAATCTCTTGAGATTTTATATGATCACTTTTATTTTATCTAATCGCAACCCGATTTTTGCGAGATTGGTTGCCTCACTATGGATACATTTTGATGGTTATCCAATCAAACATCACTTTGCTTAATAGAACAAGCTGAGCCTTCCAGTCTCTTGTCGAGGACATGCTAGCTGGCAAGTGATAGTATTGGTTCGCATCTAACCAACAAGTTATCATAAGTTTCCCCCTTTTAACAAATGATTTTGGTCAAAAACCTAACATTTCCCATATGAGAATATAAGGGTGTGCCGCATACATCCCAATTGCTCCACCATAGTATTTTAAGTTGATTCTCATTAGAGGTTTGAATCCCAAATGGAAAATTTGTTTCCGAATTATTGTTTTGATGAATCACTTTTCCAACATTAAGGGGGAGAGAGAAAAAAAACAGCTAGACAAAGAGATGAGTTGAAATGAGTTATCATTATCTAGTTTTGATCCTCAAAGTAAGAAACATGAACCTGAAGTTCATAAGATGAATTATCGTTACCAACTATCAAATGCCTTTACTGGCCATACGAAGTGACCAAGTCACATATACTAGCTGTGAATGCTCCAACTAAATTTGACATCCTTGTTGGATACTCTAATATAAAAAAATGTGTATGAAAGAGCGCATGAAGCGTGATAGACCAATCGGTTCCAATGATAAACATCCTCGAGAAAGAAAAGGAGCTGTAATTAGAATGGTCAACTCGAGGACATGAAAAATCAAGAAGAGTAACCAAGAATTAAGTATAATTTTAGTTCCAGAAGAACACATGTCTCTGAAAGTTGTGAAAGGGAAGAGATCTCAAAAATATATTAGACTACAATACTGGAACCAAAATGAAGTCATTGTCGACGAAATTTGTTTGTTGTACTTCAGTACTGAATATGATATATACAAGTGAGGATCAAGAGTAAAACTCTATTGATGCATGCAAATGATGATGTTATTGGCCAATATAGAAAGAAATCATGAAACTTGCTCAATGAGCATAATGTTTAAGGACCAGAAGTCCTTGCACCTAAAAAAGGGCAAAACTAGCGGGATACAAACAAATTTTTGTGCTACTGGAAAGTATGAAATTGTGAGAGATATCGCACAATGTTTTGCAATGGGTTTCTCGAAAAGACCTATCATTGTTTAAGAGGAGTTATACTCCCCTGTGGTGGGTGCAACTACTTTTTCAAATCAATGTTTGAAAAATGTTGTGATAGCCTATTTGTTTGAATTCCCTGGAGATGTTAAATATATTTGAAACTCCCAGAAGGATTAATTACTCCTAGAAGGATTAATTTACCTGAAGTAAACAAGTAAAGTTCTCGAGAACATATAATGATAGACTAAGAATATCCCCTGCATGGGTTGAGAAAATATAGACGAATGTGAAATACTCGTCTAAGTGAACCCATACAACAGTGGGGTGAATGGACCTTAAAAGGTTAAATCCGGATAGAGTGCATTAGAGCATTTGCATTGTGCATATATAGTTATGTTGTTTGTATGTGCTTCAAGGATTTTAAAACCTTGGTTTATGAGTTGTGTTTTACTTTAAAGTACGAGTTGTGTTTTATGAGTGTGCTTTGTCTAGTTCATATGTTTCTATGATGTGAGTTTTGTTATTATCTTTTGTTATATGAAAGAATTGCTTGCATCAATTTGTGTCAGTTAAGTTATTTTGTGACGATCTCATATTATGTTGATGATATGACTATTATTGGATCTCCTGAAGAGCTTCCTAAAGCAGTTGATTGCTTCGAGACATAAGTTAAATTGAAGGATTTAAGATCCTTTTTATGGGCAAGGAAGGTAATGTTGAAAAAGTGGGAAAGTAATTTTGCATGAACGAATTGTGTTCATCAAATAACATTAGGATCCTAAGATCACTAGAAGTGACCAAAGATCCATTTAGGCATCAAGAAAGAAGTGAAACATTAGGTCCTGAAGTACTCTATGTTGATGTACTAGGTCCTGAAGTACCACATGTTGATGCATCAGAGCACCAATGCATCTTGCTAGCCAAGCATCATATAAACTATCATTTTGGTGTTGATAATATTAGCAAAATACAATGTTTCCCTCAGTGGAACGTTGGAAATACTTTGTTACCTTCAGGAACAATATATGTGATTGTTCTATTATGGTACTATCAAAGAGAGATTTGGTGAACTATATATCCAAATCATATATATTATTTGATCCTCATATTGGTTGATCAGAGACGAGCTATCTCTTACATATGGTGATGTGATTGTTTCATAGATATCCAAAACAAACTATAGTAGGCAAGTCCTGAATATATTTCGTTACACTTTGTGATTCACCATATCTAAAGGACTTGTGGTTGTAAACTATTTCTAAAGGAAATGATCCTGAAGATCATGGTCCATGGATAAAGAAAATCTAAAGATCATGCATAAGATTGACAATCTAGAAGATTGTTCACTAACTAACTCCCGACAACAATCTTTCTAAAAGTTGTTCGTGAAATTTGAGTTAAACGACTCAAAGATTTGAAGTGATGTGGTCATGAGGGGGAGCATATACGCACTGCACTCTTTTTCCCTTAACCATGGTTTTTTCCCACTGGGTTTTCCTGGTAAGGTTTTTAACGAGGCAGTAGGAGATAGCGTAATGCAATCTAGTGGTCATCCAATGGGGAGTATTATGTAAATATTGATATATGGATGACCATTGTCATTACCACATTAGATGCTCACTTGGGAGTT